TGTCTTACTTATACCTCCTGTTTCAAGATATTTTTAGTGTTTTGCCATCTATAAAACTGCATACATCCTACATGATTCCCTACAAAATCATGCCACCTTAAAAGTGTGTAAAGAGACAATCCAACATGATCTCATTAGCAGTCATAAGCCTTCATATGTAAACATGTAACAGTTTCATTATTCACAGCATCATAAAACTTAAGCCTTGTAAAAACGATAAACTTCCAGGATGTACAAATGTTTAAGAAAGCTTTGAATTCATGGAATTAAGTTGATTTATTTAAAGAAAATCTATGTAATATAAAATTATAATACAAACAACATGGTCACTTTAACCGAAATACCTAAATAATGCAACATATTTAAACATTTTTAAAATGTTTAAAATATCTTTACATATGCTCAATTAATACTATTGAAACTAAGCATATGTAAAGTCTTTTAACTTTTGGATGCTGATGTCAATACATCCACATATCCAAAAATGTACACGTAATACAAATACCAATGAGATTAGACTTGTGATTCCTATCAAAGTACATTCATGCTGCATCTGTGCATAAAAACACACCGTTTTGTGATATACTATGGTATTCCCCCACCCCCCAGAACAAAAGTGTAACTCATCTATAATAAAGTGGTTTAATTAGATTTTGTTGTTGCCACTCCCTGATGCCGCATACCTGTGATATCTAGAAACTGCACAAATACATCACATTTAAAGGTTGAACACACTAGAGAGTTAGCAGCGTCTATTACTTTTTTTCTTGCTGGCTTTGCAAAAACTAACACGGGCATCATTATAAAAGGCTTTAGAAGTAGTTTTACTTATATGAATTTGATTGATATGAGCTTCACAAATAATCCATGTACCACAGAGGTTTTGCATCCTATTGGTAAATACAATTTTCATGGATGTATGCTAAACACTTCCTCCTACCTATATCAGAGTCAGAATCTTGAAGTCAGTAAATAAATCAAATGGATCCTATTTACTATATAAATGCACAATCCTGGTGCCTCTGTAATCTTGTATCAAAATGCAATAACTCGCTCTGCCTCTGAAATAACATTTCTTTTTAGCTGATATCACTAATCCCTTTTACTTTTCAACCATTCTCCTCTTTTCCTCTGGTAATAAACAATAATAAATACTATATATATACAGTATAATAACTTATTGCAAATGTAAAATGGGTTGTGAACTGTGAATTGTGACTTTAAAATGTTTATTTTTTTTTATAAAGCAAGACACCTCAAGCACAAAAATAACAGACATTTAGCAAAAAAGAATGAAAAAAAAAGACTACAATAAAGATGGATGCACGCATTCTCCCTTCAAGAAGTGACTAGAATTCAAGATGTCCTCCAAGTTGAGGGAACAATGGTGATCAACATGATGCGCTGTGACTACTGATCAAAAGTGAATAAAAGGCTGCACTATGCAGTGGAGATGCAGAGCCTTCTCATGGCCCCTGGCATCCATAAAAGGGGCCTCGCTCTTCTAAACCACCAATAAGCAAGCAGTGTTATTTTCAATATCTTCTTTGGACTGTAACAATAAACCCAAAGGGTTTTAAGACAAATTTATCTGCAAATGCAACAATAAGAAAGTCTACAAATAATTCATTGGCACAATTAATGAAGCAATCCACCCAACACTCAGAAGTCAGAAAATACAAAATAAATAATTTCACTCTTCATTCTCATTTGTAACCATTCATGTTTCTCTGAAATCTGACATTTTAAATTCCAGTGGGCGTATATTATCACATGTGCATGACTCAGCACAAACTGACACACTGTGGACATGCACTTCATTAGCATCAGCCAAATTCCCCTTTCTTGCTCTGCAACACGCTCTGGAGCCCTGGGCCTGACAAGGGTCATTTGCACAAAGTGACAGTTCAGTTCTCCCACAGATCGGAGTGCAAGGGGACCGGACCCTGCAGTGCAGTCAGGCAAGTTTCTTCTCCAGAAATGGTCAGGCAAAAGAGCAAACGTCCACTGCTGGAAGAGGGCAGACCAGTGTTGGAGAGAGAGAGACAGAGAGTAATGAGAAACAGCCTCGAGACGTTGCTCATCTTCTCCAGCAGGGCTTCATTTGTGACTAATTTAGGAGACACAATTCGGAGCATTTGACTTTGAGCCATCACATCAAGTGTCACTGTGCCTGGAGAGGAGATGATATAGAAATAAAGAGAAGAAACGCCACTTGCCGATAATAAGAACTTGGGATTGCCCGCATGTCCCATTTATGGCCACCACACAAAAGCAAGGAGCCCTATGGGGACCACTGCTTAAAAAGACCATCCATAACAAGACTGTGGTACAAAAATAACTCCATGCCAAGTAAAATATGAGTTACATTGGTGCATCAACAATATAAAGGGAAAAAATAGAATATAATGCTTAAATGCCTTGAAATCTTCACCCCAAATGGTCAACATTTCAGCATAACTTCATTCAGAGCCATTTGATCTGTTATTTTTTTCACCTGCAAGTCCTTTATGTCACATCAGACAACCATGTCATATCAAGTTGAATGCTGAAGCTGTGAATAAATTGTGGCAGCCTGTTTTATAGACTATCTTGCTGTGCAAAACTAGCCTTGGCATCCCATTTTCCCAACTGCGGTTTCATGGCCAAGGTTGACATTTCTACAGAAATCACTAGTTTCAAAGTATGAAGGCTGGTGAGATGGATTTCACTGCTGTTTATTTGTGGGTGATGTTCAAACTTTTGTCCAAAAGTGCCACATTGAAAATGGCTTCTAACTCCAAATGTAAAGTTTCAAACTTTCAGGGTATAAAAGCTTTTCCTGGTCACATTATGGCTGATCGAAGATGTGTCCTCAAACAAATTACTATTTGGCTGTTTTAGATTCATATCTGTTTGTGTTGAAATTATGGTTAGTTATAGTCAAATACATCAACCTGTTTGAGGCCATGTTCAACAAACCTAACGTGTTAATACACCACCAAAACCATAAATCCGTTACTGCAATATTCCTGCAATCAGCTAATGCCTGCTCAAGCGCATTTAATGTGCACCAGCATCATAATTATCCATTATGCAAGTCTAATATGTTTTTACATTTCAAAACATTTTACTTTCATCCTTGGCGAGGCAGCATTTCAAACACTGATGTTATCATAAAGTATAATCAAGCTCATGTTTTTGCTGGCTTGCTGGATATCATCCTGCAGAGTGCAATGAACCAGAAAACCAGTTTTTAGTGATCCTCTCATCGCCCCATTCAAATACCACACTTTGTTACCATGCACACAACCAGGCGTGAGAGATATCAAAGACAACCATTTATTTTGGACCCTCTCGGTACAGATCTTTTTTTGTCGTGGCCGTTTGAAGGCGTGCGCTGCTGAACGCTCATCCGGGAGGGCAGAAGCTTCATTCTGACACTACAGCGGGGCTGTGTGCTCTTTTAAACCTGTGATAGCAATCCACTAAAGCCTCCGCTCTATAAATAGAATCTTTCAGTGTAATCTTCGAGAGAGAAAAAAAAAAGGAAAAAATAAGCTGGTGCATTTAAGCTTCTCTAAACATGCAGATAGCTGAAAGTTACTGAAACATTACTTTTTAATAGTAAAGCTATATTTCCAGTGCCTATGATGATGACTTTATACAGAAATGCTTTGAGATGGGAGTTCTGTTTAAGAATTCATAGACACAGAAGGAGTGATATCAATTATAGAGTCTGTGACATAATAAAATGCTAGCACAATAACTGGGGAACAACATAATCAATGGCTTAATCTTCATTTCAAGCTTGATTCATATTTAAAACATTACCAAATGAAAATCACTCTCTGTTACAAGATCGTAAATGGAATATGACACAGTTTGGAATGGAATATAAAGCTAATTTGAAAAGGGGGATGAAAAATGAAATTGGGGGCCTACTTAACTCAACTGAACCTTGACCATTCCAAAGCACCGTGTTCCGTTTGATCGGGAAAGCTGCCACCTTCTCCCTAGGGGGTTATTATTTCCAGCTAGTGAAACCAGAATGCCATAGGACGGTTACTCCCTCTCTTTCTCTCTCTCTCTATCGCCACCTCATTATTCATTATTTTTGAATCACTGTGCTGGGATTGAAGTGAGACTGTCAGCATCCATTCTCGGCCAACCATCTCTGTGAGTTGTTGTCCTTTCACAGTATGCTGGGTCATCCCTGCCTCCAGTTGATCTCTATCTTGTGCCAGTTGTGAAATGTTACAGATGCTAATTAGCTGTAATATCGGTGACCCCGATACCAGTCCATTATGCATCATCCCCCCATCAGAAATGTGTATTGCTAGCAAATTCCTTCGAAGGCATTTGTGGCAATCTGTTGCTGCCAGCAACCGTGGCAAGAGACAAAGCTGGACAGCAGAGGGACGATTGATCACTTGTCATTGATGGAGTCTGACAGCAGCATAACAATTACATTTAGGCCAAAAGGCTAAGTATGGTGTCAGGTGCTTTAACTAAGTTCAAATGACCCTCTTCATTGCCAAAGCTTTTCCAAAGACAGTATTCAGGAATTTTTTATTGCCATTTGGATTCGCGATTAAGTAGTGAACTCTGAATGACAAAAGACTGAAAAACATGTCAATGTTTACTATATTAAAATAAAAAAGAGATAGCATGATGTAAACATACATTAGACTTAGTACCCCTGTTCCAAAAAAGTAAAAAAATACATAAAGTAAAAAAGGCAATTAATTAATCGCAATCCAGGTGGTTACACTTCTGACATAACATAAAAAAACATAAAACACATCAAGAGTAAACATTCCTGTTCAGTACACCCAGAAACTGCTGCAAAACTAAACAAAAAAGTCATAGACATCAGTAGCAGAGCACAGCAAACTGTTTTTGGTGTTATTTTATGTGGAAGGGTGGAGGAATACAAGGGGGCATCATAAAGACAGTATAATTAAGCTGTGAAATGATCTCCAGCGTTAAAGGCCTGCAGATGTCTGGTTCATACTCACCCTCCTTGGATGGGCGCCGCACCTCCGCGCTCAGATTGCACACCTGCGCTGAGCGCACCTGAGGAGTCAGGCATCCTTCGGTTTGGGGATTTAAAGGCAACACCACGTTACTGAGCATCAGCACGCTTTCAGATTCCCCATCGCCTAAATGTTGTGGGCAGGTGCATTTAACGTAGACTATTCCACACGATTCAGCTTTCTCTCCTTTCAAGCAGTTTTCCAACCACGTGCATAACACCTGACATCCAAACTGACTTGGGCTCGCCTTGTTTAAAACCACAAACTCCACCACAGACATTTCCTCCTCCTCTGTCTTCTTCGTCATCAATCCGTTGTAGTCGTAGGGAAACACTCGCCGGAGCTGCACGAAATTTTTGTCGTAATGCAAAAACACATAAATATTCTTGGCGTCATCACACAGGTGCACGATGGACTCGTTGATCCTCAACAGCTCGTTGATCTTCTCGTGAGAGAAGTGATCGAACTGGTAAGCCAGCAGAGAGAATTCAGAACAGCTAATTTCTCGTTTGTAAAGTTTTAGGTAGATGCTGTATTTGGTAGGATCAGGGTTCTCCAACGTCCATGTGCAGTTTGTGAAGTTCTTGGGAAACATTTCATTTATCGAATAAGATCCATAGATAACTCCTTTTACCAGCGTGGAACACCAGAAATCTTGGGCACCAGTATATCCAAACATAACCAGGAGATAGGTGGAAAATATATAAATCAACAGATTACGAACAGCCTTCATCCTATGTCATTTGGCCTGCAAGAGAAACAGAGATGCACTACATTGTCAGCCTATATGGTGTGAAGTGATGCTTTTTCAAAGAGTTTCAGTCCAAGATTCCCTAACTATCCAGTTTAGCTTTATGTTAAACACACACTTACCTACATTGTTCGTTTGTACCGCATATTTTCAATCATAAACTACCATCTCGATTTTATAGAGATCCAAATGATCCTTTCCATGGGAATGCAACACATTTCGGATAAACATTGCCACCTTGTGGTGTTTAATAAATTGGGGGTAATAACTTTGGGCATCTGCTGTGGCAGGATAAAACGGCATAATATTTAGCGATCAAATTATCATTTAATATGATCATTACACACAGAATGATCTTTACCGTGTTTGAATGACTGACAGTGTCGGACACAATGATCACTGACATTCAGTAGCTTTATGGTCGTTATAATAAGTAGCGACTCGATCGTTTGGAAGGATAACAAAAGGCTGGCATAGCATGGCACGAACAAAAAAGACATTCTGGCACAATAAAACGCTTTGTTTTTTATTCATTCGAGGGTAATGTGTTCTGCATGTCTGACCGCATAATAATCATCTGGCTACATATCTGTCTGCTCAGACACTGAGATTTCTAGTCAACTAAAAACACACTACATTTACTAAATACCGTCTTTTCATATCCGATTGACTGGATGGACTATAATGCCGTGATCTATGCGAAGATTAAAGAAGCGTTACTTCCATCATCCAACTCCCTTATTGAACGCAATCTATGCTTTTCATGAGGCAAAAACTTTGATTTCGATGTAATGATTTTGTCTCCGCGACGATCTGCTTGCTATACGTGTCTCATCATAATGTGTGCAAATGTGTTGAATTCTTAAATATTCTATAAGTCTGAAAGAAAGGCGGCGGAGAGGGAGAAATAAAGAGAGAGGGAGATCCAGCAGAAGAGAAACGCTATTCGATGTCCTGTTTGCATGAATCCTGCAGGCATTGCAGCTGTGTGCAGTGTCACAGCATTCCAAAACCGAGCCTTTATTTTCATTCTTTAATCACCTTAAATGCGGCACTACTTGTAAGACATAGCAAAACGCGTACGATGCAATATACAGAGAGGTTATACACACGACTATATAGGACGAGACAGTATTGGCGCACATTGCTACCGTCGCGACATCGATGTCGCGTCGCGCGCTTGCACTTTTCGTTGATTATCACGGGAGCGTTCCAGTTTGTCGCGTCGCGTCACAATCAGTAATACGAACGGATTAGAAAAAAAAAAAAGCTGTGGCGACAAAAATGAATAAATAAAAACTGCAGCGAGGTCTTTTCATATTCATACTCTCCCACAAAAAGAAGTCTAGCGTGATTGTCAATCGTCAGTTTTTTGGGGGGTGCAAACCTGAATGTGGTCACCAAAACGGATTTTACGATATACAGTCGGAGCCAAACTCCATTCTGTGTCATTTGACTGCGAAACTCGTAGACCATCGTTTAACTTCACACTGGCCCTGGTGTAACGTTCGAGTCCTCTGAAACATTGACGTAGTTTGTATTGCATTAATCAGAATGAACTGTGGAACTCAGATCTTTAACTCGTTTATTCACTGAAGAGGGATAAACTTGGGCGAGGGCCATCTCATTATCGTTCAAACCTTGGCTACATATTTATCCATCTATAATAATATTAATATTAATATCAATAATAAATAGGTCTTACCTTGCACTCTGAAAGCTATGGCTATTTTTCCCACATACTTGGAAACATAATTTAGAAATGAAACGTGTCGCTCCCCTGCGAATCGATATCTCCCATTGCCGATGATAGAAGTCTAGAGCAACAAGATGGTCAATGAGCAAAAATGCATTAGACTCCAGGCTGGATCATCATCTCGCTCCTTTTTTTTCCCCCACCTCAACGCAGCCAAGTGATGAGAACGCAACAGAAGTGAGCGGACACTAGAACGAGGGCTAAAAATGTTGTGAATCTCGACTGATCATAAGTCGTTGTCTGCCCGTCCCTCAAGAGATGCCCAGGTCGGGTAGCAGGTAGAGCGCAATCCCTGACGGATGGAGGATGCTGCTGACTCGCTGTGGAGTGAGATGGAAAGCGCTTTCTCGCCGAGCCTCAGGACTGGAGCTGCAATATCACGTCACTGCCACTAAGATAAGGCACGTATGGACGTCTCGAGCTGCGTCTCTCACCATCTCACACCCCTTCCCCTGGATAACACAGAAACTTTTTTATGGGAAAATCAAGGCAGAGGAATGTCCCTCGGACTGGAACTAACGACACAGGGTCTTTTCTGCGACCGCATGGACTATTTTAGCAGAAGCCAATGGAATAATAATTCTTAAGAGTCTTGTTTCCCGTGGAATTACGTTATCTGCATGAGATTTTGAAAGATGTGTAGCCTACAGGAACTCGTGAAGTTGCTTCATCGTCTTCCTTATCGCACCATCATTAAGAACTGGATTTGTTTGGTCTCGAGAAAGAAAATACTGTATTAATTAGCCTACTTGTGTTAATAAAAAAAAAAACTTGTAGCCACTGAGAATATTTTATAAGGACAACAAAACTTGCTAAACTTGGGAGATATATCGACGTAAAATAACATTTGGATTTGAATTCAGACGGGACTGGACTAGATTGGACTGGACGATTTTCTTGGACTATCTTGGATATGTTGAGAGAATTTCTTTGTTTTTCTATTTGGGATTTTAATTGCAGTCCGTACAAGAATTCAGCAGGAGACCTACTTTCCAACAAAATGTCATAGGTAGTTATTTTTCATACAAAAAAAAATGTGATATTTACAGCTCTTCTCTCGCCAAAAAAGAAACTGAATAAAAATGAAATACAGTATTCTGAAGAACATACAGTTTTAATCCATTATGGTAGTAACAATAACAATCCATTATGGTAGTAACAATAACTTCCCTTACCAAAAAGTAGTATACTTCAAGTTTATTTTAGTAAGTCGGTTTCTTCTTCACTTGTGTTTTTTGGAAATTCTGTACAGAAGATGTGTACTAGCGCCCCCTACAGTATAACAATGAAAACACGGATTCTAGGAACACAAGTATAGCTCAAATATATTTAGACTTTTTCTAAGTATAAGTCAAGTATACTTAAATGTCATTTTAAGTATATTTCTGAGAAGTACATAAAGCCCATTTCTGAGAAGTACATACAAAGTAGACTAAAAGTATACTCTCCTATTTTTAGTTTAAAATAAGTATACTAATAGCACACTTGAATAAACTTCTTTTTCGTAAGGGTTAGTATTTTGGGGACAGCAGTATGGTGTGTAGGAGGGTGATCTCACTCAATTATCCCTCGATAGACCTCTAAAATCACATGGACAAGCAAAGTTAGCTACTTTAAATAAAATGTTTACTTAAAGGTCACAATGACGGAATTTTGGATTTTTTAAAAGAACTGTAACTTACATTACTAAGGTGATGCAATAGGCTATGTTAAGATTATTCAACGCAAACTGACAACGCCACTAAACGTCAATCATCTAAAATGATACATAATCACAATACCTGTGATGCGTTCACGACGTAGGCTACCGCCAGAAACTGATCGCAATGCAAAGCGCATGAGCAGCGTACTGTTGTAATGGTTACCTAGGAAGATTCAACTTTATTTAGCGACAAGTGCAAATGGCGCTCTGACTGACTTGTAATCTAACATTGTCAATAGGCCTACTAAATCGTTTGAAAAACACGTTGAAAACGAAATACTTGCATGGAGAAAAAAATATATAAACATTTTGATGCCCCGGTTCGCAGAGGACAAACAAGTAGGAGATGGATGGAGGTCTCTCAACAGATGCTCATGCTGCAGTTGGATGAAAATTGGACCGGAATAGTCCACACTACAAGTTGCCTTACCATATATGTTTAAAATATATATATAAAAAATGTATTTAATTTATTGAAAAAGATAATGTGATGTTATACTGTAAAATATGTTTGAATATATATAGGCTATATAATTAATATAATATATTTATACATATTAATATATATTTTTATATTTAACTAGGCAATACAAATAGCCTTCTTTTACAGTAAACAGTTTTTACAGTTTTAAAGTTTCATTACAATGTATAAAACTACCTGCCTAGCAAAAAGACGAATACGAATACTGACTTTCCTTCAGTCGTAAGTCTTAACGTATTGCAGATAAACGAGGGCAGTGTAAAGTTCTGGTTACCAAAGCTGCAAGTTTTTTAACAACCACAGAATTATATATAGGACTATATATATATATATATATATATATATATATATATAAACAAATACTAAAGATATTTCCAATATTCTAAGATATAAATGTAGATACCAAACAATCAAAACAATATCAAAGACGTACAATATCACATTTTAGGCCTACTGGTCAAGCACTTTATGTCATGTTTGTTTGGTAAATATGGTAAACACATGCTAGAACTTATTTAATTTGCTCCTGGCTTTTAATGTAGATCTATATAAATAATGATAAGAGCAACCCACAGTAATATTTTCACAGCATACAGATTAAAAGATTTGTATAATTATTAAGTTATGGCTGTAGTTCACTATATGGCCAGAGGTACAATACTCCATCTCATGAACACTAATCAAGTCTTTCTCGTGTATGTTTAGCCTGTGACAAGGTCATTACAACATCAAACTAACCTGATCAGAGGAAAGCTGACCACAGCCTTGAGCTTTCATCTCGTAGAGGTTTTAGTCTTTATTTCAGCCCAAGCAACAAAAGTATCATGGTTTTAATGTAAAATGGCTTGGGACGAGCAGCTGGCACCGCCACTTAGACTTTGACCTCCGTGAGTAGCTCGCATTATTGTTTGCTTTATAGATTCAGCCTTGGGAACTGTCCTCATGTTGTTGTAAATCTGATTTATTTTTGACAGAAAGTGTCTAAAGATTTGCTCTATTTATGCCTACACAATGAGTGAATAAAACTAATAGGCCACAGGGTCAGACCACTTGGGACTGGTTTTGTATTCTTGTAATTCTCGTGACATCCTTCCTTAACTTGTTAATGTATCATTCTCAGGTTTAATGTGTCACAGATGCATTTACACAAATCATGAAACTGTCAGTAAAACATAGAGATGCATTATACACAGAGCTGAGTAGTAACTGATTACATGTAATCTGGATTACGTAATCAGATTCCAAAAATTAAGTACTTGTAATTAGATTAAATTACATTTTAAAATACTCGGAATCAGACTACAGTTACTCTTATATTGATTAAATGATTACGTATTATTTTTTTCAATTTTTCTATACAGCAAAAGCATAAAACATAATAATTAACATCCATAATTTCTTTCTTGTTCACCCTCAATTCCTTCTAATTTACAATCAATACAGAAAATGTGCCAAAAAAATATCAGACTATATCAGAACATATCACACCTGTTCTGAAAACTGTGCATTGTATAATTGCTAGTGAATTAGACAAAAATACAAAAATACTAAAGGATGCCATTAAATTATGCAACATTCCAGAGCTTGTGCTGTATAGCCAAGGCTATAGGTTGATATGAAATAATTGTAATTAGTAATTGTCTACCTTTCAGATAATTAATCTGAATTTGAATTGAATTGGCCAAAAAAATAAATAAAAAAACATAAATAAAGTAATCTGGAAATGAAGTGCTCCACCAGTCATAAATATATTTTGTATATTTAATTTCAATTGTATTTCCTAACATCTAAATTCTGCAACCTGTTCACAACCTCAATTCTAATCAAATTGGAATTAGATTGGATTGGAATTTAATAACCTTTTAAATTAATTTCTGACTAGCACACAACCCAGCGTTGTTGAATTCTGTATGCCAACAAGTGTTGATATCTTGTTGACAACTCATAATAAAAGTTCACCACAGCTAACAACAACTCAGCTCATCACAACAGCATTAGAAACACTCCACCTTCTATAACTGTATATAGGAGGTTATATTGTTTCAGCAACTCACATAGAGTGTAGATTGCAAGTTGATGAGCCTTAAGAGTAAATCATAATGCAATAACCCAGCGCAACCAATTGTATTCTGCTGTAACTCCATTACACCAACCTAGAGAAAATTGAATAAAAATAAGGTCTGAGTTACAGCCAAAGGGAACCATAACGAAATCTCTATTTATACTATTATCACACAATGTTGAACAATGTCTATTTATCTTTACAGCTTATTTATTTTTGCATGTTCTATTTATGTATTCTATGTACAGTGTATATATACAGTATATATATAGCTTTCAATGTATAATATAAAGAATGGATATATAATTATTGTTCTGTTCTAGAAAGAACGTACATATTTGTAGAACAAGAACACATTGTTTTAATAATGGACACATGGTGCCTAGTAATTTCTTTCTCCTCATCCTCATACAGTATCTGTAGCAATAACACTTAACCTTAAATTACTACAAGTAATTTATTAGTGTTTACTATTGTCATTTTGTATTATTGACACACTATTTTCCTAATTAATGCTGTTCAGTTGCTTTGACACAATCTGTATTGTTAAAAGGGCTATATAAATAAAGGTGACTTGACTTGACTTGACAAGCATTTTTAAGTCCTTAAGCACCATGCATGATGCCTCTGTGAGATCTTCAACACAATTTTTCATCAGCTGAAATGAATATTACATTGTGCTCCAAGGACATAGTTCAACAAAAGAACCTCTATTTTATTACCAATAGTCCCTTTACATTTAGATCAGAGAAATAAATTAATAATATTAATTGCTCAAGGAAATAGAAGTACAAATTGTACTGAGTATATTTCAATCCTAACATCATCCCCCCCGCCCCCTTCCCAAAAGTCCCCAATCTCAAATCACCACTTCTTGTTCATTAAAAATCAGTGATCTCTTGCTTCACATGTTCCCTGCCTTTGGTTGTTCTGGCACGGCTTGTGAGTGCTGCATCGAAAATCCTCCTCAGGCGGCCAGAGGAACATCAGGAGTGACCCGGAGGCGTCCCACATACAGCGGCCATAATGAAGAGCGGGGAGCTTTGGGAGCTTTCAACTCAGTGAGCTGTGATGGTGAGGGAGAACTATTCAAAGCCTTATTGAAACATGAATACACTGAGAAGGATGTCTCCTGTGAGGAACAGGGGCCAAATATCAGGCTGCAGGAGCCGCAGTGTCTTTCTCTGCCATGTCAC